TTTTATAGCCTCCTGGTCATTACGCCCCCCGCCGTGACGTCTCGCCCAGCTGTTGGTCTGATTACACACGAGATTCAGAGCCCGTCACGCTGAACGGCGTTCCCCTAGCGTTTTTCGACGCAGCACGAGTTCCTGAAGAGGAACTCATTTTCAATGTATACTATCACTAAAGCCCCGTTCACAGCAAGAACGATAACTATAAAGATAACGCTATTAACGTCCACACCAGCGAACGATATAGTCTGTTTATTCTAAGCGCACATGCGTCTGCCTTTTTAAATTCTTGAGCTCATTACAGCAGGATGGATTCTGATTGGCTGTAAAGCACCCTCCGCAAAGAGTGCCTTTCGGGAGCGGAGAGCATGCATGGGAAGACACTCGCAATGCGGGCAGTCAGCGCTCTCAAGAGCTGACTCAGCATGCTCTGCTCCCAGGCAGACAACGCACAAACTGTGTGTATCCGCACCCGTAATGAAACGCGGGCAGGGAGGAACACACAGTTTGAAACGCTGGCTGCCTTCGCCCCTACTCAAATGATGTGACTTGTCATGTGCCTTGGACATAATTATTTTCCTTATTTTCTAGCCCTACGGGACAGACAACACCAAATATGACTCACAAACAGATATCAGACTGACACACACACAGAGCGCTTGCTGAATGACAAAAAGCTGACGCTGGTCTCACCGCACGTGCTTTTATAGCCTCCTGGTCATTACGTCACCCGCCGTGACGTCTCGCCCAGCTGTTGGTCTGATTACACACGAGATTCAGAGCCCGTCACGCTGAACGGCGTTCCCCTAGCGTTTTTCGACGCAGCACGAGTTCCTGAAGAGGAACTCATTTTCAATGTATACTATCACTAAAGCCCCGTTCACAGCAAGAACGATAACTATAAAGATAACGCTATTAACGTCCACACCAGCGAACGATATAGTCTGTTTATTCTAAGCGCACATGCGTCTGCCTTTTTAAATTCTTGAGCTCATTACAGCAGGATGGATTCTGATTGGCTGTCAGTGTTTTATCGTTCATCAGCTGGAAAGAAAATCGTTTTGAAAGTGATCACAACGATATCGTTCCTCTGTATTGTTATCGTTATCGTTATAGTTGTGGTGTGAACTATGCTATTCTTTAATATTGAGAATGATTTTTAGAACTATATCTTTATCGTTATCTTTATAGTTATCGTGCTTGGTGTGAACGGGCCTTAAGTGTCCACAATACTAACTTCTAACTTTGGCAATAGAAGTAATAATGCGGCATGTTATCTGATCTTCTGATCTTTCTGAAACTATGACCTCAGTCCCTAAAAAGGTCAACAGGAGTGAAGGCATCTTGTAGAAGAATTTGATGCAATCAGGTGAATCCCAGAAATTAGCCACCACATGTCCATCTGCAGGGCTCAGGAACACACCAATGAGGACACACACAATGAAAGAAAGCTCCATAACGCAACAGACTAAATGCAACTGAGTAGAAATGTCTTATAACACAGCTCTCCTTTACCACTCCTCTCTGTTTTCACTCCCCAATGACTGATAGCATTAGACATGCTAGATCCAAAATTTGTTGGATTAGTTGATAACATAATTAAATTAAGTTGCAGATTAACTTGCATGTAGTTAAGCACAAAAGTTTTTTATATATAAATAATTATTGTTTATGTACTGAATATATTTATTTATTCTTATATATTCTTTCAGATATTTTTTTTTATGTTTTATTTTTCCCACAAAGGTTGTGTTTGTCAGTGTGCATGTTTCCTATGAATCAAGAGTGACCCCATGGAACAGCACTGGTGTCTGACCCTGAAGTAACCTGAGAAAGGCTCTGATTAACAGAAAAAAGAAAAAAAAACAGTGCCCTCCAGTTTGTGCTTACTGCATTCCTGATCACACATCAAAGGTAAATCAAGGACGACTACTTTATTTTTAATATTGGGCATGTTTAATTTCTAGCTAAATATATCAAAAGAGATAAGGTAAACAAATTTAGCTTATTGTCCAGTATGGGGGGGCTTGAGCATGGGACTCTGTTGCTCTAACACCCCCCTGGACTAAAGCAAGAAATCTAAATATAATTAGTAATACTCATAATAATAATTTAGTAAAAAAATCAATGAAAAAAAAGTGTTAAGAAATAAAGGTGGAGATAAGAAGGAGGAGGGATGCCAGATGATTTATCAGCGGAGTGAAGTATTAATGATTCATTGCTTTTCAACACAGGTCATGTTAAACCGTGTTATTTTAGAGTTATTTATATACTATCATAACATGCCTTAATATTCTGAATTAGTGTTTAAAATAATTATTTCAATTAATTCAATTAATAAAAATGTTTTAGTTAACAATAACAACACTGTTAAATGACTAAGGACTGAGTCTATTATAAACTATCACAACCTGAAAATGGCAGTTTGCAATCAATCACTAATGAACGCACATTGCAATTAAATGAATGAATGAACCCCTTAAGCTAAATCCAGGATTCATTTCTGGTTAATGCTACTTAATTGTCAAATTGGTGATTTTTATTTAGTAAAGCAGCAGGTTTTTGTGGATTAAGATGATTTATTTAGAAGTTTGTTATGATCAGCTGCCATACTGCTATACTATTGTCCACAAAAAAAAAAGTTAAACAGTTGGTATATTTGCAAATTCTTGATATAGGCTGCATGTTGTGTCTGGGTTTCTTTTCAGAGACTCCAAACACATAACTAACACTAGATGGCAGAATAGTGACAGAATTAATGTGCCATTAGAACTCAGATTCCTTCAGAATATAAAAAGATAGAAAAATAAGAGAATATATATGTATATGTATATAAATTATATACAAATAAATCTAAAATTAACTAGGCTGAGATCAAATAAAAAAAAAAACTGGTCATACATCTGACAGTCAAGGTGAAACAGTAGCAGTTCAGAATTCAGTAAAGCCATCTGAAGAAATGTATGAGTTACATATAAAGCATATTACATATTATTTAAATAGATGGTTTAAACCGTAAAATTGTTCATATTATCGTCACACAAGTTGATTTAAGTACACTATCACAGATATCTTTATGAAATTGTTTCATAAGGAACTCTTTGAGACAATATTCCGCCATAAAGCCACACATCTGTGATTTTCAGACCCGCGGCAGTGCAAAGGTGTGGAACGGGCCAAATTCAAACATCCTCCATCCACATCCTCATCTGTGTCTATGCATTTCAGATTTATTCATACATTTCCAATATATTTATGCATGAGTTCTCTCCACTCACCCCTCCCTGCCTGCACACCCCATCCCATTACTGTAATCCATCACCCCAGCATCATCCGCCATGCAAGCCGCCCCTGAGTTGCCATGGCAACCACCTCAGGCCCCAGCTCTTTGCAGCCGTGCTCTTATTGGAAGGAAGGCTCAGGCAGTCTGAGGCTGTCTGGTGGATGTGGTAATTGGCTT